CCCCCCCCCCCCCAAACCTGGCTGATCCACCTCACATAAACACGCGTGCGCCCAATGGCCATTTCAAGCTTTAATAAACTAACTAATTTGCATAGTTGAGTGTCTTTGATGGCTCAATTAAGGTTTCTGAGACACTGCCCAACTACCCCTCCCATAAGCCAACATTTTGCCTAAGTGAGTTAATGTTAGCTTAGGGGAGGGGTAGGTGGGCAGTTTACAAGAACCCAACTTGATCCCATTCGATTTCTCTCAACAGTGAGATGTTGAAGATGGGCAAGAGCAAACCTTGGCCAATAGCCCTCGAAAAACTTACCGGAAGTCAGACGCTTGACGTTGAAGCGCTCACTGAATATTTCCAGCCGCTTCGTGATTGGTTGGTGAAGCAACGAGAGGAAATCGGATACGCCGCTCCGGGTTGGAAAGAGGAACCAACGTCTGGAATACCTGCACTCACCCCAGTCTGGTTTTACTTGTTTGCCTTGTTATTCGCATTAGTCGCGTTCTTTTAGTTAAAGCGTTTTGATCCTGAAACGACTCTCTCTCTACTTTAACCATGTTAAGGTAGATTAGGGCAACATTCCGCATATTATATACTCTGATTGTTTCGTTATAACTTTTCCTGATTCTTTCAATTCATAGCCTGAGTAGCGACCCGTTGAGAAACACAGGGAGTAAAAAAAAGTGCGCGCGTGAGTGGATGTTTATTTGTGTCTGGAAAACCAAGTCCCCAAATTTCTTCAAATCAGATCCTAATTATTAATTGTTATTAGGACCTGATCGCTCCAGATCGAACTCAAAAGGATATCGGGCTCAAATTGTTTAAATCGGGTCTGATTACTAATCAGGTCGGTTTCCTGGGGCCTCTTTAACCTTAAAACTTTTTCGGGAGGAGGACGCGCGTAAAGTGTGCTTCCTCTTCCCTCGTGCGTGCCCTTCCCACTCGCGCGCGCCTCTTCAATTTGCGCCCCCCTGCCCTGTAGTTAGGGAGCTTTAGCATCGACGACGGCAATGGCAGCGAAAACGTCAGTGTTAAAATGAATTCCCGTTTTTTCAATCTTTGTGGGGTTTATTCCAATTTGCTGAAAATGGCAAGTATAGGCGAATTTCGCTGGAGTTGATTTCTTGAGGACCGCACTCAAGTTTAGAGAGGGAAAAAGAGATTCGTCGTCGCTTGTTTACTTCCTCCATAAAACTTGCAATTAAGCATTTCACGTCGTAGTCGTGCAAGGACGGTAAAGAAATGTACAAAAAAGCGTGATGCACGTGCAAAGTTGTTGTTTTGCGTAATAAACCTATTGCTTTTCTGACGTCCTCGTTGCCGTCGCCGTCGTCGTTGCTAAAGCTCCCTTTTGTCATGCAACCACCCCGCAGGCTATTTTCTCCAGCCTGACGTCTTTGTAAAGTAGGACTTTGTAGATAGAGAGTGTATATTTAGACATTAATTTGTTCACCCCGTATCATTATTAGCAATACTTTTTTGTGATTTCATCTAGTAGATATCGGAAAAAATGTAGAATAAAATATGTTTCTAATTGTGTAATGTGGAAATGAATAAAGAAGATTCGGACAGAATTTGAGCCCCCAGTAACTATGAATCTTTTAACATTACAGAAAACCCTTTCTTTCCTCAAATGCTTCCAGTCCTAAAGACCGCGAAATTAGTGTGTTACCCCTGCGTAGCAGACGCTCGGAAGGGAGAGGTTGTCAGAGGGAGATCGGGCTGGCAAGAAGACTAACGGCTCGCCCTTCGTGCTGTCGCGGTTCCGTTTTTCTCGTAACCTGCGTAGGAAAAATTATCTCGAGGAAGTGCGCGTTCTCCTCGCGCGCCGTATGAAAAGTACCGACCCCGGAGGACACCTGCTTCACAGGCTATTTATCTCCTTTTCCCTTCCTTTGGACCGCCTGCCAAACTGAGGCCCTATAATTTCGGTCCAAAATCCATAAGTGCAAAATTCTGCACCACCCAAGATCATTGCTTTGAAGTGGTTTGAGCCTCGTGCAAAATCGAAATGTGAGAAACAGAAATAAAGGCAAATATTTTTCACAAGTCTTCCTGTCTCCGACACCTCTAGACTTAACCTTAACGCAGGTTACTTCAGACTAGTAAGCTGGAGCAGAGTTACTCCACAGGAAACCCGTCGAGCGAGGGCGTATTGAAGACAGAGAAGAAAAAATAATTCTCGTCCCGTCCTAATACCTTATTATAACGTCGTTGTTTGCAGGGCATGAGAACTAGACGGATTTTAAGAAAAAAGACGGACTTCAATTCGAGACTTTTCTGATCTGGGTGAATGGACGGACGGGTGAGCGTCCAGTCACTTCGGCTGAGATGAGACGAAATTGGTTGGTCAGCGGTACCTACCACGAAATCAATGCGCACGCTGCTTCACGTGCGCCTGGGGAAAATTCGCCAAAAATCGTAAAAATCGTAGTTTAAGAGTTGCCTACCATGATATTTTAACGCGAAAAAAAAAAAAATGGGTTTCACAACACTTCTCATTCAACGATGTGGACGTTGTCTTCTTCATCGTCAAGTAAGGTTCCTCCTTCCTTCTGATCATTTCTTTATTTACAGTGACACTCTTCGTCTCTTCATGTGTATGGTTAACTTAAACCTTGCCGGCGTTATGCAATGCTGTTTTGTTATTTATAGGGTTTGAACTGTTGTCGGCGTAAATGAAATCCTGTGGTACAACCATTTCGTGTTAATATAATGTTGTCTTAGTTTATTTGACCGGGATCAAAGAAAGCGTTAAAATAGACTCTTCCATGTTTTTTTTGCAATAATTTGGCAGGGATCGGAACTGTAACCGAATATTCATCAAGAATTTAACTTGATGTCAGACAACGCAGAGGTATTTTGCAGAACGATGAACGGCTGCCGAACGCCAAGTGACTCCGAAATTTACTGATTATGGCAAGGAAACTGAGTGAATAAACAAGGTTCATTTTATGCAGGTCGAACTGAACTTTACCTTAATTCACTCAGTTTCCTAACCCTAATCACTAAACTTAAGAAACATTCAGGCTTTTGGTAGCCATTCAGTGTCCTGAAAAATAAGCTGCTGGTCAGACGTATAGTGAAGATATTGCTAGTTTGGTGGTCCCATGCAACAGCTATTTAGTGGTTGACTTGAACAAAAGCGTTTCCATCCTCCGCGAACTGGACTCAAGTGGTTCCAAACCCAAAGTATCTTTGCAAATTCGCAAAAATGTTTTCACAGCTTTGGATGGTGACAGGGTGAAAGAGGATGAACTTGCCCCTCCCTAAAATGTCTAAAGTTATAAATTTGCCATTTGGTTGAGACATTTTCTTCCTAATAAGTTTTTTATATATACGGTCCCTTAACTCATACAGTCTAAACTATAGTCTTGAATGATGATTTCTTACCAAAACTCTATGAGTTTAACTAAATGCCTGGTATCAAGAACCCTTCCTGGATACCCAGCTACTTAATTTTAAAAGAAGTCTTTAACAGAAAATGCCTTTAAAAGTGTGTATCCTTAATTTCATCAGGCACATGTTGTGACAAGACGTCTGTTATCATCAGGAGCTTCTGTAAGTTTCTCTGAGATTTTTAGAAATAACCAGTAGGTTGGTAATAATGCTAGATGTAGGATGCTTTCAACGCTGCTGATCCTAGAGTGCAAGATGGTGTTACTCTCCATTAGTCTTCCCCTACACAGCTGTAGCTTTGTGGTGACAGAGTCTGAAAACTAATGTACTCACTGCTTCATGGTAAAAAAATGTCCTGCGATAAGGGATGAGGGGAATGCATCACTTGTGGAGCTGAAGATTTACAAGTTTGGTGAAAATCTGTGGTACATGTACATGTAGATGGTCCTGACTCCATTATGGCAATAAATTAATTATTTCACAGTTTGATATGTGACTTCATGATACCACAACATACGGACTTCTTGCCCATGTTTGTCTTCTCTTTTTATAACTTTGTTAAGAAAGCATTGAAACAACATATACAGGATAAAGATTGTGTTGTTTTTTTCATCCTTCCATCCTTCATTTAACATTAATTTTTACAGAAAAATGTACTAGTCCTGTGTGACTTGTGGCTCTAAGTTTTTACTACAATGTACATGTTGTGTAGGAATAATTATTTTGTACTACAGATGTAGTTCAGGTGATGGTCTAGTAGGCTACTTCTGAAGTTGAGCACTTAAATTAATTAAAATTACTGTAAATAAATTTTTGAGAATTTTTTCTTCTTTAACTTTTTTCTGTTAAACAGAAGGATGTCTCAGCTATCAGAAATATTGGTGTATCTGCTCATATAGACTCAGGAAAAACCACTCTTACGGAGCGTTTGTTGTTTTATACTGGTCGTATAAGTCACATGCATGAGGTAAGTTACCTCTATAGTTTTGCCTTTTTTGTATTTCTAACAGTGCATTTTGTAAGTGGGAAGTACATATACATGTAAGGTCACATTCATTGACATGGAAGCCCTGTTTGGGGAGAGGGGGAGGGGGGAGGGTTTACATGTATGTTGAGGAGTAGGCCATGTCCCTGTCAGTATTCAACCCATCTTTATGTCGTTTGTCGCCATTTCATCTTTTTTTGTGTCACTGTTTCAAGGCCACGTTGCATGTCAGAATTTTACCCAGGCCTCCCTCACAAATACTTAAGAATTTGTTCATGCTTAGCGTGCGTATATCGAGTTATGGATGCACGCGGGAAGTTTGGAGAGCACGAAAGATGCGTAAGAGTTGCATGAGGCGATAGCCGAGTGCAACTCTAGCTTCTTGAGTGCTCTCCAAACTTTCCAAGTGCATCCATAACTCGATATACGTACAGCTAAAAGCGTGAGCAAATTCTTTTATAACATAGCTCACAATAATACTTGCTTTTTGATTAACTGCAAAATTCTCGTAACGCGCGACACAATAACAAACGGTTCTATTGGCTGATTACGAACACGCCACAATCGTCTAGTTTGAATGAAAATATTCTTTCTGTGAAAGTGAGAAAGAAAATTTGCTCCTTTATTCGTTAACGATCAATGGAAACTAAGCAGAAACAAAGGTAAAAGAGTCTTAAAGTTCACCTAACGTTAAAACTAACATGTTCATAAGAAGTCGTGGAGTATGGTTTGGATTTGCTGAAAAGATGTTTACGTTTTGCTCGGCGAAATCCAGAAAACATGTTAGCGAAGACGACTGTCATCCTTCTTTAAACTTATATTCATTTACGAACATTGGCTGGTCATTACGGCTTCTTGAGAAGACCTGGCAGCAGTTGTTTTTGTGAGTAATAAATTTATGTCTTCTTGTGTAATTTGTGTTGTTATTGCGATATAAATTTTCCTGCTTCACTCGGATTGTCCAGAGATAACAAAGTGCACAACAAATTTAAAAACAACAATGAAAACGGAAATTTTGCCTTTAAGTGTTGTTGATGACCAGTTGGAGTCTGTTCTGTTCCCAGTGAATGTCTTTCGGCCAAAATTTGCTGCAGCTGGTCTTCGACAAATTTGTGAACAGCGCGCAACTTGCGAGTTTTTTTTTAATTCGGCTTTATTTTTGCTGCTTGTTGGATCAGGACCTAAAAGGTCAATGCCGATAGAAAAATTGGGCAGTTCTTCGCTGGTTTCTTCCATATTTTAAAGAGAAGGAAAAGTGCACTAGCGCTTGAAAGACGACAACTTTGCAGCCAGGTAAAAAAAAATGCTCACGTCATCTTATTTACGCACGCCCGTGCATAAATAAAGATTTTGTTCATAGTGGCTCAATAGGACTTATATAGGGCAAGTACCCGCGCTATGTTATAAATGTTGTTATAATACACTGTATTTTATGTTGTAGTTAATTTTTTATTTCAGTTAATTTTTATTTTGCCACGATTGTTTTTGGGTATGGTAATGTATGCTAATGAATTTAAACCGAAGGAAAAACGGAAATTAACTAAAATAAAAAATCAACTGCAGCATATTCAAGTAGGTCCTAAACAATGGTGAAATCCATTGAAATAGTGAATCTTTGACCTTCAAAATTTCCATGAAATTTTTTATTAATATTATTGCTACTAAAGCAACAACTACAGAAGTCACTTTTGTTATTCAAAATGTTTATCGAAGTAAAGAGAGCAAGAAATTGTGGTGATGGACTTTTGTATTAGAAGGTTGGAAATTTGATTCTTTCCTAAGTGTTCAAGAAGTCAGAATGCCCTCTCTGGGAATCCAAAAAATTCTTTGCCTGCATGTATTCTTTTACCTGAAGTATTTTTGCTGTATTGTTACTAACCTGCGTGACCCTTGACCTTGCTTTCCGATGTGACTAGGTACGAGGCAAGGACAATGTGGGTGCCACAATGGATTTTATGGAACTTGAACGGCAGAGAGGGATCACTATTCAGGTGGGAAATTAATTAAAAGTAATGTAATACTATGTATACGACGTTAACATGTTTTCACTCTGATATGGAGATGATTAGAAAAAATTGGCATTTATGTGTGTATGCAACAGTCAATTAAAGTACACTGCATCTTTCCCACTGTAAATTACATGTAATTTTCAACTTTAGTCAGCAGCTACATATGTAACCTGGAAAGACATGAACGTCAACATCATTGACACTCCTGGTAAGTTGTACAAGTCACATTACACATACAATATTGTACATAGTTCCCATGTGAAGGGGATGGGCGGTACTCTCTTTATTGAGCTGTTATACTTACCAGTTTTGGGGGCACAAAAGGGTATCATCTGCCTGACAAAGGTTTTTAAAACATTTGGGTCTGAAATTGGTCCTGAAGGTTTATTTGTTCTACCTTAATTTAACTGGAGTCTGAGTATGTATCATTTTATTTTAGTTCCTTGAGAATTGCAGCATAGGTCTGAAATGGGGTAGTGCTATCCAGTGGATAGTGATTTATCAGATGGATAGCGTTATCCACCTTTTGAACAACTGGGGCCAGAAGGTAATAGGTTTGACTCCTTTTGAAAGTTCTCGGATTTTTTTTTCCGAGCCGCTTATGTCTCTGACTGAAAAAACATCTTTCTCAGTTTGCAATTTTTACAAAACACTTTTTTACGGTGTTGCGTAGTTATCTTAATACCTTTTCGGGTCGAAGCAAAAAGTTGTACTAGGTTCTGACAGACACGAGATAGTGCACGATATAAAATAGAGAAAAGAAGCGGCCTTGTCACCGTGACTTTAGAAATTATTAATTGTACCTTGACAACTTTTAAGGATGCTTCTTAGGACCAAACTAGTTAAGGCTCATCCTCGGAAACCCAGGGGCAGTCAGACGGATCGGAAGAAAGGGCGTGACGAAAGTTTTCAAGGACGGGCGGAAAAGCCCTTGGGTAACGACTCTCACCAGACAATTTCCAAACGGTTAAGCGAATGCCAGCTCCTGATTGGGCTCAAAACATGCTTTGTATTATTACTTTTTGTGCACAATCGGCGAACAGCATACGCTGTCTCGTTTTCGTGTGTTCGTACACGATGGCTATTGTCTCTCGCCACACTTGTTCGGTTCTTTCGTTTGGCTCCATTAAATCCTATATCAGTCGAATGCTGATCGGCAAGCCGGCCAGCCCACCTTGTATTTTTAAACAAAGCGAGATTTTACCAAGGTCATTAAGTAGTATAACACGAACCCTTCCCCCCGGCCCCCAAACTGGCTGATCCACCTCACATAAACATGCGTACGCCCAATGGCCATTTCAAGCTTTAATGAACTAACTAATTTGCATAGTTGGGTGCCTTTGATGGCTCAATTTAGGTTTCTGAGACACTGCCCACCTACCCCTCCCATAAGCCAACATTTTGCCTAAGTGAGTTAATGTTAGCTTAGGGGAGGGGTAGGTGGGTAGTTTACAAGAACCTAACTTGATCCCATTCGATTTCTCTCAACAGTGAGATGTTGAAGATGGGCAAGAGCAAACCTTGGCCAATAGCCCTCGAAAAACTTACCGGAAGTCAGACGCTTGACGTTGAAGCGCTCACTGAATATTTCCAGCCGCTTCGTGATTGGTTGGTGAAGCAACGAGAGGAAATCGGATACGCTGCCCCGGGTTGGAAAGAGGAACCAACGTCTGGAATACCTGCGCTGACCCCAGTCTGGTTTTATTTGTTTGCCTTGTTATTCGCATTAGTCGCGTTCTTTTAGTTAAAGCGTTTTGATCCTGAAACTACTCTCTTTCTACTTTAACCATGTTAAGGTAGATTAGGGCAACATTCCGCATATTATATATTCTGATTGTTTCGTTATAACTTTTCCTGATTCTTTTCATACATAGCCTGAGTAGCGACCCGTTGAGAAACACAGGGCGTAAAGAAAAGTGCGCGCGTGAGTGGATGTTTATTTGTATCTGGAAAACCAAGTCCCCAAATTTCTCCAAATCAGATCCTAATTATTAATTGTTATTAGGACCCGATCGCTCCAGATCGAACTCAAAAGGATATCGGGCCCAAATTGTTTAAATCGGGTCTGATTACTAATCAGGTCGGTTTCAAGGGGCCTCTTTAACCTTAAAACTTGTTCGGGAGGAGGACGCGCGTAAAGGGTGCTTCCTCTTCCCTCGTGCATGCCCTTCCCACTCGCGCGCGCCTTTTCAATTTACGCCCCCCCTGCCCTGTAGTTAGGGGGCTTTAGCATCGACGACGGCAATGGCAGCGAAAACGTCAGTGTTAAAATGAATTCCCGTTTTTTCAATCTTTGTGGGGTTTATTCCAACTTGCTGAAAATGGCAAGAATGGGCGAATTTTGCTGGAGTTGAAAAAGAGATGCGTCGTCGCTTGTTTACGTCCTCCAGAAAACTTGCAATTAAGCATTTTCACGTCGTAGTCGTGCAAGGACGGTAAAGAAATGTACAAAAAAGCGTGATGCACCTGCAAAGTTGTTGTTTTGCGTAATAAACCTATTGCTTTTTTGACGTCCTCGTTGCCGTCGCCGTCGTCGTTGCTAAAGCTCCCTATTGTCATGCGACCACCCCGCAGGCTATTTTCTCCAGCCTGACGTCTTTGTAAAGTAGGACTTCGTAGATAGAGAGTGTATATTTAGACATTAATTTGTTCACCCCGTATCATTATTAGTAATACTTTTTTGTGATTTCATCTAGTAGATATCGGAAAAAATGTAGAATAAAATATGTTTCTAATTTTGAATGATTGTCTACAATGTGAAAATGAATAAAGAAGATTAGGTCAGAATTTGAGCCCCCAGTAACTATGAACCTTAACAACATTACTGAAAATCCTTCTTTCCTCACATGTTTCCAGTCCTAGAGGCCGCGAAATTAGTGTGTTACCCCTGCGTAGCAGACGCTCGGAAGGAAGAGGTTGTCAGAGGGAGATCGGGCTCGCAAGAACACCAACGGCTCGCCCTTCGTGCTGTCGCGTTTCCGTTTTTCTCGTAACCTGCGTAGGAAAAATTATCTCGGGGAAGTGCGCGTTCTCCTCGCGCGCCGTATGAAAAGTACCGACCGCGGAGGACACCTGGTTCACAGGCTATTTATCTCCTTTTCCCTTCCTTTGGACCGCCTGCCAAACTGGGGCCCTATAATTTCGGTCCATAATCTATAAGTGCAAAATTCTGCACCACCCAAGATCATTGCTTTTGAAGTGGTTTGAGCCTCGTGCAAAATCAAAATGTGAGAAACAGAAATAAAGGTAAATATTTTTCACAATTCTTCCTGTCTCCGACACCTCTAGACTTAACCTGAACGCAGGTTACTTCAGACTAGTAAGCTGGGACCTGAGTTACGCCACAGGAAACCCGTCGAGCGAGGGCGTATTGAAGACCGAGAAGAAAAAATAATTCTCGTCCCGTCCTAATACCTTATTATAACGTCGTTGTTTGCAGGGCATGAGAACTAGAAGGATTTTAAGAAAAAAGACGGACTGCAATTCGAGACTTTTCTGATCTGGGTGAATGGACGGACGGGTGAGTGTCCAGTCACTTCGGCTGAGATGAGACGAAATTGGTTGGTCAGCGGTACCTACCACGAAATCAATGCGCACGCTGCTTCACGTGCGCCTGGGGAAAATTCGCCAAAAATCGTAAAATCGTAGTTTAAGAGTTGCCTACCATGATATTTTAACGCGAAAAAAAAAAAAATGGGTTTCACAACACTTCTCATTCAACGATGTGGACGTTGTCTTCTTCATCGTCAAGTAAGGTTCCTCCTTCCTTCTGATCATTTCTTTATTTACAGTGACACTCTTCGTCTCTTCATGTGTATGGTTAACTTAAACCTTGCCGGCGTTATGCAATGCTGTTTTGTTGTTTATGGGGTTTGAACTGTTGTCGGCGTAAATGAAATCCTGTGGTACAATCATTTCGTGTTAATGTAATGTTGTCTTAGTTTATTTGACCGGGATCAAAGAAAGCATTAAAATGGGCTCTTCCATGTTTTTTCCACTAATTTGACAGGGATCGGAACTGTAACCGAATATTCATCAACAATTTAACTTGATGTCAGACAACGCAGAGGTATTTTGCAGAACGATGAACGGCTGCCGAACGCCAAGTGACTCCGAAATTTACTGATTGGGGCAAGGAAACTGAGTGAATAAACAAGGTTCATTTTATGCAGGTCGAACTGAACTTTACCTTAATTCACTCAGTTTCCTAACCCTAATCACTAAACTTAAGAAACATTCAGGCTTTTGGTAGCCATTCAGTGTCCTGAAAAATAAGCTGCTGGTCAGACGTATAGTGAAGATATTGCTAGTTTGGTGGTCCCATGCAACATCTATTTAGTGGTTGACTTGAACAAAAGCGTTTCCATCCACTGGGAACTGAACTCAAGTGGTTCCAAACCCAAAGTATCTTTGCAAATTCACAAAAATGTTTTCACAGCTTTGGATGGTGATAGGGTGAAAGAGGATGAACTTGCCCCTCCCTAAAATGTCTAAAGTTATAAATTTGCCATTTGGTTGAGACATTTTCTTCCTAAGTTTTTTATATATACGGTCCCTTAACTCATGCAGTCTAAACTATAGTCTTGAATGATGATTTCTTACCAAAACTCTATGAGTTTAACTAAATGCCTGGTATCAAGAACCCTTCCTGGATACCCAGCTACTTAATTTTAAAAGAAGTCTTTAACAGAAAATGCCTTTAAAAGTGTGTATCCTTAATTTCATCAGGCACATGTTGTGACAAGACGTCTGTTATCATCAGGAGCTTCTGTAAGTTTCTCTGAGATTTTTAGAAATAACCAGTAGGTTGGTAATAATGCTAGATGTAGGATGCTTTCAACGCTGCTGATCCTAGAATGCAAGACCAGAATAAAAATGGTGTTACTCTCCATTAGTCTTTCCCTACACAGCTGTAGCTTTGTGGTGACAGAGTCTGAAAGCTAATGTACTCACTGCTTCATGGTAAAAAAATGTCCCGCAATAAGGGATGAGGGGAATGCATCACTTGTAGAGCTGAAGATTTACAAGTTTGGTGAAAATCTGTGGTACATGTACATGTAGATGGTCCTGACTGCATTATGGCAATAAATTGATTATTTGACAGTTTGATATGTGACTTCATGATACCACAACGTACAGACTTCTTGCCCATGTTTGTCTTCTGTTTTTATAACTTTGTTAAGAAAGCATTGAAACAACATATACAG